ACCTGCCATTGCATTTATTGTCAGTGTTGCTGGTTGTTGTGGTGATTTTTGGTATTCCCTTACAAAAACTCCCAGTGAAGTCAGAGAATCTACGTCCTGGTGCATCTCAGTAATCCAGGTAGAAAAAAATCAAAAAGAAAAAATAAGTAGGTCCTCTGGATTGGTTCTTCGGAAATGTTTCGTCTCTCCTCCAAGAGACTTCTTCAGTCTGATGAGTTTCAGGTGAACTCCTGAAAGAGTGACCGCTGGCCTGTAGATGAGTGTAAACTGCAGAGTCTTGGCCTAATGAGTTTACACTCACCTACAGGCCAGCGGTCACTCTTTCAGGAGTTCACCTGAAACTCATCAGACTGAAGAAGTCTCTTGGAGGAGAGACGAAACATTTCCTTAAGGAAGAACCAATCCAGAGGACCTACTTATTTTTTCTTTTTGATTTTTTCTACCTGGATTACTGAGATGCATCAGGACGTAGATTCTCTGACTTCACTGGGAGTTTTTGTAAGGGAATACCAAAAATCACCACAACAACCAGCAACACTGACAATAAATGCAATGGCAGGTTGACCATGGGGATGTGGGGTTGATAAATGTACTGTATGAATATGAYTGGTAAAGAAAAAGGGGGAAAAAACGAGTAAATGGTTGCGTGAGTGGTTTGTATGTATAATTGGTGATCTTACTGCAAAAGTGATATGTGAACTTTGGGTAGTATGCATGTGCAAGCCTGTTTTCTTGTTCCACCAGGCCAACCTCGTGCATCCTCCCATTTACCCCCCGCCCACCCAAAAAAAACCCCCAAAAACACTCCCTTATTCCCGTCGCTTCTCTCTCATTTGCCACTGGAGAGCATGGGCGCCACTGAGTACCAGTGAGAGTTGCTGTCTGTGACGCCGCCCCCTAGCGGGAGCGCTATGAACGGCTGGCTGTGGCTGCCACTCACTGCCGGGTAGATGTGACCGATGGATTCGCTGTGGCGCCCGATGTGGATCTCGTCGTCGTCGTCYTCCGTGGTTTTGCGGTAGACGGGGTTGTCGAAGTTCATGCTCTTGGTGTTTTTGCGCCGCCAGTTGCGCCAGACCAGGTAGCCGCCGGTGCAGAGCAATCCGATGACCACTGTGGCAAGGATAGGGACTGCATGTGTTTAACACACACACAACAACAACACACGGCGGGAGCGTTAACACAGCCCAGGGGACACGGAGCGGCGCTTAAAGCACTCAMACACGTAAACAAGGCTCGCATCGTTTCTTACATCAAATGAAGGCTCATCATTTTTGGATTTATGTTCAACTCTCACCACGTAACATTTTTAAAACATTTGAGAGCCTAAAAAACAGACGTCAAGCCAAAGTTTATTTCTGTAGAACTCTTAAAGGAGACRTATCATGCTTTTAAATCCCTTTTCACATTTAAAAAACTCAGTTGGGGTCTATTTTGGAACTGCAGTGCTTTGGTCTGAATTCCACCTTATTGTAACTCCACAACCCCCTCCTTCAGCTCTTTTCTGAAGCGTCTCTCAGATCAACTCATTTTGAGGCTCTTTAAATTCAAACGAAGCGCTTCACACCCCGCCCCCCTCCAGCTTCGACTAAATAGCAGCGCGTAAATTTTTTATTTACAAACGAATTAAAAGATGTCAACAAGGGAAGCCATGTACATCTAGACTTAAGGCCTCTACACACTCCATCTGAAGCCRAACAGTCGACGCGCAGTCACGTAGTTGTTCGGCATTCGTTTTCACACACACATTTCACAGTTCTTGAGTCACACCGAACTCCTGAAACCCCTCCCGCTGTGGTACAAGTCACTGCATAGTGTTCTTTTGCGCTGGAGTCTACACTCCAGGAAAAACAAAACAAAAACAAAAACAAAAACAAAAAAATCCCTCGCTGTTATTTGTCCATAAATCTGTCCCAGTTAATGCTCCACATCTTTCTGTAGATGGACTCCAAAAATTTCTTTTTTATATTTCCATAGTTTTTGTATGACTTTTATAAATGTCTGCTTTTGGTTAGTCACACTAGCTACGTCTACACGGACACAAATAATTGGATTAAACGGCCATTCTGTATAAAAATGCGTCATATAAACACCCCATTCGGTTTATTCTGACCTGATTCAGCTCGATCCGAATGAATTTGTAATCGGAATGAGAAGGGTGGTTTACGCCGACTGATAATCCGAGCCACGTGCATGTAAAACACCTAATCTGATCATCTCATTCTGATTGTGGAAAACTGACCTCTGTGCATGTCTTCTGACTTTCATCCACCGGTTTCTGCACTTTGTGGAAGAAGGGGCAGCAGTGCTGTAGTTTCCAGCAGCACAGAACATTTCCACCCGTGATCTCATTCAATAAAGAAAGAAGACAAACAGCATGTGTTGCTTCGCCAAAAACAAAAAGTTTGCACATCACCTGTAGGTCAACCAGGGAGTGCAGTAATGTCTCCACTGTTCTTAAAACTTGTTGTGGGTCGATTCACGGCGCTCAGAAGACGTTTGTTTATGTTCATGACAGAAGTAAAACTTCTTCTGTGTTTTTTTAGGGAAAGTTAACAACTGCACGTCAGCGCTTCTATTCCGAATAAAAGCCTGGTGCATGAAAGCACTTGTCATGATCGGATTGTGCCCATGTAAACGATACATTCGGATTATTTAATCAGAACAGATTTCAATCCGATCAAAGAATTTTGCGCAGTAAACGTAGCTATTCTGGAAGCGAGTAGGTGAAGCAAAATACAGCGTTAGAGCGCTTTCAGCTTAAACAAACGCGCCCACGAACTTCAGACCAATCACACAATGCCTCGCATGAAGCATGGTGAGAAACAGTTCGGCCAAGGCCATGTGTGTGTCGAGAAGGAGGCGACCTGTCRGCACACCGAACAAAATGACGCAATTTTCGTCATTCAGCTGTGACAATGAGAGCTGATTTCAGCAGATCGGAGGGAGTATGTAGAGGCCTTTACATGTTAGAGCAGAGTCTGATCCAGAGTCAGAGGAGAATGAAGATCATTAAAYTGTAGTTGGTAAATCCAGATCGTAATTGGTGGTTCTGTTACAAATRCTGTGACRTAAGAGTTCAGAAAACATCATAGAAAATAGAGAAAATGGAACRAGTTGAAAAATATGACTCAGTCATAATATAAAGATATTAACGCAGCACCATGAGAAACGACATTAAACTTTTCTGCTCTCCTAGAGACTTCAAGTACACAACAAAATCTATTTAWCAGCTTAAAAAGTGGATTTTGCATGATACGTCTCCTTTAATAGCCAAAAATGACCAGAGTACTGCAGAAGAAACTCGTGTTTCATTCATTATGAGTGAATAATGTTTATTTTGTGAAGAAAAGAAGGAAAAAGCATTTACCTGTMGGTTAAAAAGGAGCAGATTTTTAAAAATATACTAAAGTAATAAATAATGAGCCTTCATATTGTGTTTACTAATTCTACAACATTTCTTCTCACTTTCACAAGATCAAAAACACYTTTACTTAACTCACATGCACCATTTTCACTAATGACTGCCTGCATTATACAGACAACAAACCCAACATGCAAGATGTGCATTGAGACATCAGTTTGTGCAATCATGCACGAGTTCATCTAAAATCCTGCAACGTTTTGGACCTGAAGGTCTTGATTTAGCTCTTTTTTTTTTTTCATAAAAGCTCTGCAAGGTTGCCTAACTGTCATCAGCTTATTATCCCGGCTCTCCATTTGGGCTATGATTTATAATTTTGCTCTTGCCTTGACTGAGAAATGAAACACTATTTGCAGATGGGCATGTGGTGTTTTTTGGATGGGGGTTATTAGAGGAGAATGGAGGGTGGGGGGGGGTAGAGAGAAGGGAGTTTGGAGGATTTGCGATAAGCGCCGTCTCTCTCCTCTCATTACCATATCAGCACAAAACGCCCAACTGCCCCGCAGAAACCAGTGTCTGCGCGCGGGAGCGGAGAGGGAGAGTGGAAATATGGCTTAGGAACCAACAGCCACGTCAGCAGTGTGTCAGGATAGAGCGATAAGATTAGTTTGGGTTAGCTTCCACAGATGTGATCCTCCCCCCACCCCCACCCATGGAAGCCCCATCTTATCGCACATTTTGTTGTGTAAGCCCAGGAGATCCCCGCGTGGCACCGTCCGTCTTTGTTCTTTYCTAAACGCTCTAAAAACATCAGCTTTTTGTCTCGTTTAGAATATTTCACTCCAATTAGGGAACGGCACCACAGCCCCCGACTTCCTCTAAATACTGATAATCACGGCCCGCTTCTCTCGTGGAGCTGTGGGTGGTTCATTACTGGATGAGAGTGGAGAACTGGGGGTGCAGAAATCCATCCCTCGTGGACTTCCAACGATAATTAAGGTTTCAAAGCTGCCAAAAAATGCAGAATGGAGGGGATTTGTGGCAGTARTGACTGGCAGGAGGACAGAACGAGGGATGAAGGGTTAACGGTCTCAGGGGGTTGWTTTAATGAGCTGACATCTCAAATGCTGAGAATAAAAGAAGGACCCAAAAAAAAGGCTTTATAATATTTTAGAACCATGACTTCTGAAACTATTCAATGTTCTGAATGAAAGAGATCTCAATTAGCAGCGTACGCTACCGCTAAAAAGGTCATTTGCACATTCAGTTGATTTCTCAGCTACTTTGAGCATGAAAGCGTTAATTGTTTCCGTATAATAWGATTTTTATTATAATTGACACTAATAGAATAACTTTCAAAAGCTATTTTGAAGGAAGTAATAGTACAAAATAGAGTATMCGGTCAAAGGAATAGCTCCAAGTGATTTTAAAAAAGCAGATAATAAGACAAAATGGTTCATCATAGCTTATTATGCAATTTTAAACTCCCAATTGTGTCGACTTAATGAGCAGTTTCAAGCCACTACATATTTAAACCCCGGTCCTAACGGTAAAACCCATGTCAGRGAACTGGACTGACTCAGAGGCAGTGTACAATACGATCACACTGRGAGCATAATTCTAATGTAGTAACAGCTGGTAAAATGTAAAGTAACATCTCATTAATAATAGCTTAATGTTCCCATTACAAACACTTGGTCTTTGATTTAACTGACAGTTTACTTCCACATAATGACATTTTCTAGCAGGTAAGCTTGAAATTTTTGCGATATSTTTTTTAAAGTTTTGAAATATTTAACATTAAAGCTTCGCTACTCTACCACATTCATGTAAAAAACATTGATTACTTCAAAACACTTCAAAATCCCAACAATCACACATGCACACAGCAAGACAGAAATATTGCAAACACTACGCCAAGCTTCAGAGACAAGCAGAGATGAAGGAGCGAGGAGGAGGAGGAGGAGGAGGAGGAAGCAGGCAGGCAGAAAGCAAAGACAACAAGGTGAGGAGGTAAGGAGTACTCACCGATCGGAATGACTATTCCCAAAACAGCTACCGTGATGTTGTTACCTATGAGGTAGTGATCACTTGCAGCTGTGATGAATCAGCAGAGAGACAGAGAAAAAAAAATAGAAAATACAAACTAAGCAAAAAAGTTTTGCTCTACACCACCTCCACCTCGAATAAACCCTGAAAGAGAAACAATTTGTTTAAACAAAAGGTTATTGTGCTCGAAACACATATTTGCGTAATATAAAGACAGTCTAAAGGGATCCATGATTAGTTGTAACATCAGGCTTTATATGATAAACATATATTTTAACTGTAAAATAAAGACTGTAAAAATACTGTAGGATGTTGAGTTTTTATCATTTTTAAAATAAAAGTTTAAAAATATATTACACGGATGGGGCCATTTTATTTACAA